GTCCGCCTTGGCAGCTCCCGGCTCTGAGAACCCACTGCCTCACTTCGCTGTTGCCGGCCTGGCTCCTGGTGACCCCTGACGAGAGCTCAGTGTGTCCTCCTTAGATGCGCCCAATCCATGTCCTTGGACCCCCTCCCACAACCCAACCCCAACTTCAGCCCACAGGAGCTCCCACTCCCCAAGGGTTCCGTGGGGGATCTGGCTGGGAGGGCCCATGGGGACCCTGGAGGCTGGGGCCCCGCCCTGCGCAGGCACGCCCTCCCCCTCCCCGCACCCACCTTGCGTGCGGATGCTTTGTAGAATGAGGTACAGATGCTCCCCGGAGACGCCCGCCGTCTCTAGGAAGTCCTCCCGCGTCATGCTGCACAGCTGCAGGCCGCTGACGTTGAGGTGGCACAGGGACAGGCAGCTGGGGTCCAGCCGGTACTGGTCACAGCAGGCCTGCAGCCACTCCCACACATGACGCCGGGTCCAGTGCTCAGGGGGCACCGAGGCCCAGGATGCGTCGCAGGCTGCGCAGGGAGAGAGGCATGAGGGTGGCGCCCGGGAGGGCCCAGGCAGGCCCCTGCCCTGGCGACACTTCCCCCGTGTCCGGTGCCCTGTGTCTACAGAGGAGCATGAGGGCCTGGGGGTGGGAGACAGACAGGGCAGGAAGCCAGGGGGCGGCTCTGGGGCTTGAGAAGAGGGGTCCAACAGGGCGGAGAGAGGCGCTCGGTGACTGGGCTTGGATGGCGCAAGGCAGCCAGGCTGGGTGCGAGGCCCGGCCCGACCGCTGCCCCCTTGGGCAGGGTCTGGAGGCGGCTGAGCTTCGGTTCCTCGCCTGCAAAATGCAGGTCACAGGCTGGAGTTCGGGGCGGCCATGGAGTGTGGGTTACGTGCGTGGACTGGGGTGGAGACCATCGGACCCACCCTAGCTCCTGATCATCCACTGTGCACCCGTCCTGGTCGAGGCTGGGTGGACTCCCTGAGCTCGGGAGCTGCCTAGTGCTGCCTGTTGGCCTGTGCACAGCCCGGCCAGCCTCTGCCAAGGGGCTGGGGCCAGTGAGACACTGCCCAGATCAGACAGACCCGGGCCCCTGCTGCAGGCACCTCTGGAGGAAGGAGGATAGGGGTGGGGGGAGGTTTGCGCTGTTCGTGAGGTTTCCGCCAGATTCTGGAAAGTCCATCCTGAGACCGAGCCCCCACGCCCTACGAGGGGCTGGGCCAGCCAGCGGCAGAGTAGGTACCCACAGCCTTGCCCCAGCACTCAACAAGTGACAGCCTCCCTCATGGGTTGGGGTGGGGTGGTTTTAGCCCCCCAGTGCTATGCTGCAGGTTCAGTGAGGTGATCACGGTCTGGGACAGAGCCTGGAGGATCCACGCTGTTACAGACGTCACCACGGGGGTCGCCACATGCCACGGGCCAGAGAGGACAGGTTTGGCCCCACTCCCCCTAGAGGTCACAGATGAGGAAGCCAAGGCCCATGGAGGGCCTTCCCAAGACCGGGTTGAGCCCGCCTGAGCCCGAGAGCCAGGCTCTTCCCTTCCCGCCATCGGGTCCTCAGAGATTCAGCGGGGAGCAGAGGGGGACACTGGGAGGCTGAGGCAGATGGAGAGCCAGAGGGACGCAGAGGCTGAGGAGGAGGCCAGGAGCAGGGGACACCGAGGCGAGGAAAGGGTGGGCCCCTCATGGTCAGACCCACGGCCGGGGCCATGGAGCTGATGCCATGCCCGTGAAGGCTGCCCCTCCGATCCCAGGTGAGGGAGGCCCATGCCCCGTCAGGGCTGCAGCTGGCCCTGCACCTCCAGGCCCCACACAGACGCCAGCGTCCTGGCACTGTGTCCCGCAGGTGCCCCAGCGCCCTCTCCAGGAGGTGTTCCTGGGCTGTTCCAAGGCGGAAGCAGGGGCCCCAACACTGGGGCCTTCCAGAAGTCCCCTTCTCGCTGAGGGGCGGAGACAGTGCTGTTGTCTGAAATGGGAGATGTTTTCACGTATTTAAGATGTTCTGCGGAATGCTGTCCGCACCTAGACCAGGAATCGATACGGCCGGCGCTGAGGCAGAGGACGCCGTCCGCCGATGAGAGGGCAGGGGCCTGCCAGGCCGCTCAGCTCTGGCTCAGGGCCCTGGCTGGGGCCAGTCCCCAGCCCACAGATGGGTGTTTCAGGCAGGTGGGTGCCCAGGCTTGGTGGACCCGAGGGGCTGCTGGATGCCGCGGGTGTCCATCCAACAGTTCACAACCCTGACACTCCTGGTGGCAGGCCCCGTGCAGGCCTTCCCAAGAGGGTGGTCGCTGGGCTGCAGCCGGAGGGCGTTCTGTCTCCACGAAGATGTTTTGCCAAGCCTCACGCCCTCCCTCTTTCACCTGGTTATTGTTTTTGGCACCTGAAGAGGCAATATTGGTTGTGGAAGCCAAGGAGGCCTCGAGGATCAGGGAAAATGCTGGGTAGGGTGCGGACCCTGGCACGGGCTCTGTCCCTGGCTCTCCTTGGGGCTCACCGCGGGGCGGCTTGGTGTGCAGGCGGCCCTGGCGGGGGCCCTCGCACAACAACTCTGCTTCTTAGCAGCGACCTTCCCACGGCCCCAGAGCACAGAAGAAGATGGCTGTTGGCAGTGCCATGGAGGGCTGCAGGGGTGCTCGTCAGTGGTGGGGGTGATGGTGGTGGTGGTGGAAATGCCGGGTGGGCAGCAGGCCCTGGCGTGGGCTCTGTCCCCATTTCTCCTCGGAGGCTCACCACAGGGCCACTCTGATGGTGGTGGTGGAGGTGAGGAGGGTGTACTTCCAAGGTTTCACCCTCTCGACCCGGAGGAGGCTGCAGCAGTGAGGCTTTCTCACTGTCCTCGAGCAGGCCGCGAGGTCCCACATCTGCCACCCCTCCACAGGCAGGGAAATGAGGCCCGGGGCAGGCCCTGTCCCAGGTCACAGGCAGGGCCTGCGGGGCTGGGAGCGGGCTGTGTGGCGGATTCCAGCTGGGCAGCCCAGCCCCGATGGCCGCAGTGCCTCCTGCCTCCACATGAGGGCGGGTGCTGCTCGCGGGTGAGGTGCAGAGGACAGGGTGGGGTCTGCGCCTCTGGGCCATCGCTCCCTGAGGGACTCTTGGGAACCCCGGAGCCTCCCAGAGCCCCGATCCAGGAGCCTCTGCCACAGACAAGGTACGGCTGGGGTTCCAGGCAATGGCGGCACCGCGTGAGACATGGTGTCTTGGCCGTTGAGAGGGCGTGCGGGCACCATGTGCTGCAAGGCACCTCAGCTCTGGGGGATGGTGTGTGGGCACCGCATATGGTGTGGCACCTTACTGTGGGTTGGGTGTGCAGGTGTGCGGAGGTGCAGAGAGGAGTTCCAGAGAGAGCAGGGCCATCCAGGGTGCTCTGTGGCACGCTGGAACTCCGTTGGAGAAATAATCTTTAAAATGTCTGTGCGTGTGGAATACACGCAGTCCCAGGATGGCCCCTCCGGTACTCACCCTCCCCAGCATTGGTACCCTGGGATCCTCATCCTTGCGGCCCCTTGAGCCCAGCCAGGCCCTGCATGCAGCGTGGGCCATGGTGTGTGTCAAGTGAGGGCCACGTTGAGAGAGGGCCACATTGAGAGAGGACCGCATCTCACACTGAGAGTCAGTCACCTCCGGCATTGAGCGTGGGTCACGTCCTGTTTTGAGAGTAGGCCGTGTCCTGTGTCAAGAGGGAGTCACATCCCACGGCAAGAGCAGGTCAGGTCTCATGGCAAGAGCGGGCCACGTTCCACATCAGGAGCGGGCCTTGTCCCACGTTGAGTGGGTCACGTCCTACATCAAGAATGCCATGCCTGCCTCAAGAGCAGGCTGCATCCTGTGTCCAGAGTGGGCCACGTCTTGTGTTGAGAGTGGACCACATCCCATGTTGAAAGTGGGTCATGTCCTGAGTTGAGAGTGGACCACATCTTGCACTGAGAGTCAACCACGTCCCACATTCAGGGCACGTCACATACTGCGATGAGAGCAGGCCGCCCCCTGTGTCGAGAGTGGGCCACGTCCTGCATGTCAAGAATGGCTGCATCTTGTGTCGAGAGTGGTCCACGTTCCATCCCGGGAGTGGACCACATCCTGCATGAAGAGCAGGTAACATCCTGCCTCGAGAGCAGGCCACGGCTTCCGCAGTTGCACACGTGGGCACAGGCTCGCTGTGCTCTGCCCGAGCCCTCTGGAGAGTACCTGGAAGAGCCGCTCTTCCTCAGCCGCAGGCAACCTGCCTTGCCCTGTCCCGGCATCCCTTGCCCAGAGCACGTGTCCTTTCCTCCTCCTCGTGCCTCCCTTGGTCTCGAGTATCCAGCTGGCCACACGCAGAAGGGCCCCAGTCGCTCAGTGTGAGCAGCAGAGGGAGGCAGGAAAGGCCCACTCCTCCCCTGAGCGGGAGTCGCCGGGGCCTGGCTGCGGTGGGCCCATCCCATGGGCCAGGCCTGCCACCAAGCACCCGTCCATGGAACCTCATCCAACCCCAACTCCAGCAGGGGAGGGGAGCCCACCTTAGCCCCTCACAGCAGGCTGCAGGCTGGTGACCCCAGAGGGCGGGAGGCCACTGTCGGGACAAGCCCTGGGGCCCTGGATTCAGGATGGGTCTTTCTGGAGGTGGGCGAGGGTCTCAGGGATGTGTCTCAGAGCCTGCCAGCCATGGAGCTGACTGTGGCCTGAGCTGTGCCAGAAGGCCCACCTGGCTGTCCCCGACGTGGCCCTCAAAGGGGGGCTTTGCAAGAACTCAGGCCAGGGCCACCAGGGAAGCAAGGGAGGCTTGCCATGCCCGGTGGCTCCAGAAAGCTCCGTCCTGGGGCCCGGGGCTGCGTGTGAGCCTGGCACCTGCCTCCCTCAGGTCTGCAAGGGACCAACCCTTTCACAAGACACCTCCTGTTCACTGGCCTCACACCTGGTGGGAATCTCTGTTCTTGCCGTGGGTGGTGGGAAGAGGAGGCTGTGTCTGGGATGGAATCAGAGAAGCTTCGGGAAGGAATCCCCGTCATGACTCGGTCCAACCTGTGTGACCCCGATGGACGTGCAGAGGCCTTGGTGGAAGAGGCAGTGTCTACACATCGCAGACTCATCGAGTGGGCCATCTGGTACCCGCTGAGGGCTCTGCTGTTCACTCTTTCTTTTGTCATCAGGATAATATGTGTCCTGGAAAGCTCACCACCTGGCCCTCTAGGGGCACAGCCCCAGAGCGTTAAGTCTACCCATGGTGCTGAGCAGTCATCACCGCCTTCTGGCCAGAACTCGCAGTCCTCCCACGGGGATGGGGCCCTGCGTTTTTGCCTCGTGAGCACCCGCCTTGTGCCAGACTTCCCTGGAAGCCCACCTCAGCCTCGTGACACCCGCAGGCGGGCATTTTGCGCCCCCATTTTTGGAGGGGAACATGGGGCACTAGAGGTGAGAGGGCCTGGCTGACATTCTCTCTGCAGGACACGAGGTGCCGCACCAATCTGAGCACTGTCCACCACCACCCCACCCCACTCTGCAGAACAGGCTGGGCGGGGCTCCCCCGGCAGGCCTGGGTCCGTGAGGCCTGGCCTTGGTTTGAACCAAGGAGGGCCTGGAGCTGGGCCACATGGTAAGCCATGTAGGGGGAAGGGGCGGGGCTGAAGGTCTCCCTCATCCTCCTCGAGTCTGACCTCTCAACCCAGTTGCCAGAGAAGGAGGCGGGAGACGTTTCATGGTCCTTCTGGGAACAAGGTGCTTCTCAGGCCTGAAGGAGGTTGTACCACGAGTCTGGGATTCAAGTCCAAGGGCAGGGATGTGGTCTTTTGGAGGAGAGCGAGAGATGCCACGTGGGTGTGTGTATAAGGGGTGGGTGGGACTGCGTCATGTAGGTGAGTGTCTCACAGTTGTGTGTGCGGGAATGTGTGTGCATGTGAGTGTGGCAGGTGCTCATGTGTGTGTGCTCCCAGGGCCTGGCCCCAAGGCAGGACCTTCCTGCGGGTGGCGCACATCTGCAGTGGCCTCTGAGGCTCGGCCTCTATGGGATGCTGCCTGCCTCCACACCCTGAGCTTGGACCCTACCCGGGTTGAGGCATGTGTGGACAGCTGACCTGGTGGCGTGTGCACCGTGCCGTGCGGAGGTGGGGGTGCCTGGCTGTGCCAGCCATCACACCTCAGGACCTGGCATCTGGGCAACGCTTAACCCCCTGTCCCTGCACGGGGTTTGCACCAGGCCCCGCCCTCTCTTCTCTGGGGGGGAAACGGGCCTGAGGGGAGAGGAGGGCGGGGAGGGCGGCCGGGGATGGGACGTGTGTCTGGGAGCCCTGGCCTGGCCTGCCATGTGTTCCACAATCGGGCACCCTGCACCCCGGTCGCGCCCCCTTCCCTGCTCCAGGGACATGGGAACCACACCCAGTGTTGCACCCAGGACTTCCGTGGCCCTCAGTTGGCTGTGAGACCCCAGGTCAGTGGCCTGGCCTCGCCATGCCTCAGCTCCTCCTCTGTGAGAGGGGAAGGGCTAGTTCTTCTCACAGGCTCCTGCAAGGGTGAGAGGGAGCCTGGTGCTCCGCACATGTTGCTGACCACAGTGGTCTTGCTGCCATAACACACCACGGCCTGGTTCCCTCCCTCACACTAAGCACCACGTAGCCCTGGGAGCCTGGCATCGCTGCCCCCGTCTAGCTTGGAGCAGAACGAGGCTCGGAGAGAGGTCCACCGAGGCCCCAAACTGCGGAGCCCAGAAGGCACTGAGGCAGAGTCCACGCCCTCCATCTGCTGGAGGCTGCCCCCTTCTGCCTGGGCCTCCCCAGCCTCTGTCCAAGTGCAGGTGCTTCCAGACCGCAGCTTGGCCTCCTCGCCGCCCAAGGCCAGTCCTCCCTCCCGCCTCCCCCGGCCCAGCCTGGGCTGTCCCTGCCGTACGCACCTGTCTGGGGCTCAAAGGCTGGGTAGTACTCCTCATGGCTGAACAGGTCTGTCCATGACATCAAGGGGTCGCAGAAAGACGTGCTGGGCAGGAAGGTGCTGTGTGCCACGGAGTCCAACATCACCCTGCAGTGGGGGGAGGGGGGCGGTGAGAGGGGCTGGGCCCCAGGCCACATGGTGAGGGCTGATACGTGGTTTTTAATAACAGTCACACACGCACTTCCATGTGGAGCAGGGCCATGGGTCTCTCTGATGACAGCGTGGTCCCTGCCACCTTGGCCTGTCACGTTTTGTAGGAGAGAAGACTGAGGCTGGATGGCGACTGAGCGGGGTGAGAAAGGAGGCTCTTACAGGGTCCGTCCCATGTAAGAGGCCTGGTCACCTCTCCTCCTGTCTGCTCACGCCTGGCCCCCGGCTCTGACAGACAATGGTGGCCACAGGCTTCCGGGGACAGGTGAGAGCTGCTGTCTGTGGCCACACCCATGATGCTGAACCCTGAAGGCTCTGGAGCCTGGGGGTGTGTGTGTGGTTTCTAAAACCCCACCGTGCCGGCTAATTTGTTTTCTTAAATAGAGATGGGGATGGACATCTCATCTCTATTTAAGAAAACAAATTAGCCGGCACAGTAGGGTTTTAGAATTGCCTGGGCAACTTTGGGAGACCTCATCTACAATATATCAATAAATTAGCCAGGTGCAGTAGCATGCCTGTAGTTCAGGCTGCTTGGAAGGCTGAGGCAGAAGGATCGCCAGAGCCCAGCAGGTCGACACTGGTGTGGCTGTGAGTAGCATGCCACGGCACTCCAGCCTGGGAGACAGAGTGAGACTCTGACTCAAAAAAAAAAAAAAAAAAAAATTAAAATGCGGCATTTTGAGATGTCCAGGTGTGAATTCCTCACAGCCCAGTGTCCCCAGGCTCCAGCTGTTGGCCCCTGCAATGGTGCCACTCAACCCCTGGCCCACGAGCATGGACACTTCAAGCATGCCCCCAAATCAGCCCCCTTCCATCTTAACACGCAAACGTTTAAGAGGTAGGCTTTATAGCACTGCTATGCATGGAAAGGCAGGGCCTCGTAATGTACATACAACAACCACACGAGCATTTAGATGAAATGTGCTCACGCCTGCACCAGCCAACCCCAGAGTTAGGACGAGCCCAGCAGGCAACGCCAGCCCACTGCCTGTTTCCGGCAGCTAGATGTGAGATTGCACTTCGAAGCGGCTGCATTTTAAACCACGACCTAAGCATGCGTGTGACATCCTCGAAGATTCTCTTGGCCACAGAGACTCCACCCCCGGCCCTCCAGGATGGAGTTGGACGTCCTGACCAACTCCTCTGGCACGTCCCCCTGCGGTGGGTGCTACATGCTGGAAACACGGGGCTGGTCCAGGCTGTCCCTCACCCGCCACCCTACAGCTGAGGGAGTCAGGCCTGGGCACCTGTGCAGCCCACTTGCGGTCACGTGCCCGAGGACGTCGAGCTGAGTACTGGGAGGAACTGAAGTTTCCAACATGTGGCCCACCTGCACCCTATAGCTGAGCATGGCCTGTCACGTGGCACATGGCGCCCCTGTGGCAGAGGGGCAGGGCGTGGGATTCCGGCCCCGGGACCAGGTCTCTGGGGATGCTTGCACATCCACCCCTGTCACCAGCACTGCCACCGTCACCCGCATTCTGAGAACGGGGCCCTGGGTTATGTATACGATCAGGCTGAACGCTCACGCCCACAACCTGCCACGGACAGCACCTGGATCCTAGATCCCTGGAGCCATCTCCTCACTGACCAGAGAGGGTTAATGGCTCAGTGGGTTATCACGGCCTGGATCAACTCCCGCAGCCGTCAGGCCTGCCTGGTCTGGGCTCCGATTTTCCCATAGATTGGGTGGTTTTCTGTCCCGTGCAGGGGCAGGAAGGAGAGGGACAGGCCCCGAGCCCCAAGCCCCTTCCGCCTTCTGGACTTTAGAAGAGTCTGCCTGTGAAGGCCGAGGGCACAGGCGTCCCCTTTGGAGTGGGCCACAAGCTCAGGACACGCAGGAGAGGGGCCAGGCCCTCCAACTCTCACAGGGTTGGAGAGAGGTGAGGTGGGCCCCGAGGTGGAAGGAGACGGGGCTCCGTGCCAGCCAGGAACCCAACACCAGACTCGGCCAAGGGGACCCGCCCACCGTCCCGAAAGCAGCTCCCAGTCGCCCGGTGGGTTAAGCTTGGTCCTGTAACAGCAGGAGGCTTGGGGGTACACAGGACCTCGCCTCCACTGGGGACTTTCTCTGCCTCCTCCTTCCACCACCCTTGCCCTGCGGTCTGGGTGCCATGGCCAGCTCCCCTTGGGAAGTCTTCCCACGGCAATTGGCGCCCAGCGCATTTTCTTAAAGGGCAGGGGCACCACGCATTTCTCTCCAGTAATTATTTCTTGCTTTTTGGAAAAAAACATCATTTGTAAAAGCTACTAAGGGCCTTCTTTCTTCTTTTTCCTCCTGAAGAGTGTGGGGCATGTTGACTCTGCTCCCTGCGGTGGCCCTGGCCCTTCCCTGAGGCGTGAGGCATGAGGCCTGGGGATAAGGCGGCCGTGTCCCCTCCTCTCTGGGCTCTCTGGGGCCCTCTCAGTGTGGACACCTTTACTCTTGAGGCTTCATCAATGCAGGTGGAGGAGCGGTGGAAGAGGCAGCTGCCCGGAGTCCCTCTCTCGGTGGGGACATGGAGGCCAATGGCATGGGGGCCGGGCCTGAGGCTAGACCAGGCCTTCCCGGGGTGGCACCGACCCGCAGGAGAGAGACAGTGGCCTTGGAGGCTTGGAGAAGCCGGCACCATGACTGTGTTTTAGGGCTCGGTGTATCAGCAGGTGCATGGCGTATCCATGGCATGGACTCTCAGGCGACCAGTGAAGAAGGATGGGGTCAGTAATGCTCCCCGGAGGCCGGAGGTCATGGGGCCCAGAGGTCCAGGTCGGGGCCAGGTCAGCAGCCGGACATGGTGGGCTCCAGGGAAGCATCTAGGCTGCAGTTCTGGCCATGCTTTTGGTTTTATCTGGGGAGGGCTTGTCACCGTGGGAACAGCCCTGGCTCTGCCCTGCACCCTCTGAGACTTGCACTCTGCCCACCCAGTGAGAGCACAAGCAGGGTGACCCCAGGCCTGCCCCAGCCTAAGAGCCTCTGCAGGTCCACCGGATGGGGCCCACATACCCTGCCCACTGCAGGCACCCTGAGCCCATCTAGACTCCTTGCTCAAGCAAGTTCTCCAGCATGGAGGAAGGCCCCAGCTTCCAAACCCAGACTGAACTGTCAGCTCCGACAAGCCCCGGTTTCCCCTCCTCCCCTCCTCCCTGTGTCCTGCCGCTGCCCCGTCAGGGTTAGGAGCCTCAGGATGGCTGGACATCCCTTCCCTGGCCATCCGGGAGCCTTGGCCGCCCTGACCTCACTGTCCCCCAGCAGATCTGTGGTGGCTGGAGTCAGTATCCCCCAGCACGGCCCCCGCTCTAGCTGCCTGGGAGGTGGGAATGGGCCGAGAGCCATCGGCACAGGGAGGAGTCGGGGCTTCCTGCAGAAGGAGGGCTGGGGTCAGTACCTTGAGAGAGCGATGGTGGCGGCACGGCCTTAGGTTGCCTGACGTCTCCCCAGCTTCGGGCCCTTCTCAGAGGTGCACACACTGGGGCGCATGAGAGGATCCCCGGCACAGCAATGGGCCTGTGTGGCTGCGCACCTCTGCACTGCCAGCTGAGAGCCTGAAGGGGCAAAGCACTCAGCCTTGGCCGGGCTGTTGGGCAGGAAAATTCCTCCTGGCCCTGGTGAGGCAGGGACGGTGCGCTGGGTGTGTGACTAAAAACCGCCCGACGAAGCCGCCAAGTGTGGGCCAGGCAGAACGAGCCCGGGGCCCCCAGTCCCACCGCCGGGCGGCCTCAATGGAGGGAAAGGCGTCCCTCCCTCCCTAAATCCTCCCTCATTCCATGGGTCGGCCTCCTGCTCCAGCCTCCCTGCCGGACTCAGGGAAGAGCCCCACGGAGCATTAGACGCCGAGGATGAGGGAGGGCTGGAGTCAGGCGCGAGGGCTTGTTCTGGGGAAACCAGAACCCCTGACGCCTGTTGAGACCACCTCCTGTCTTCCACCCACTTGGGGTTTGCTGCATATGCGCAGCTGTCTTCCCACAGGGGACGCCAAGGCCCACCGAGAGCGCCTGCACGGCCTGCCGTGGCTTCCACACCACGCTCATGGCTGTGGCCACAGACCCAGGGCCAGTCCCCTGTCTGCCTCCAGTGCCGGGCGCGGGTCTCCCATGTGGCCTGTGTACTCTGGACTCCTCCACCCAGTGTCTGTGCCGACACTCACGGCCCAAGCTCTCGCCCTCCCCTCTCATAGGGATGCGCCACTTGGACCTCAGGGAAGCTCACAAAAGTAATTGAATAAAGCCAGTGACAGGCGTCCCGGAGGGAAAAGCTGGCCACGGCCAGTGCACCCGCCAAGCTGCTGCCCAGGACTCCGGAGGACAGACCAGCACCGGCCAGGGCGCCTCTGGACCCTTAGACTACGGGGGCATCCCACCAGAGCCCGAGGCAGGAGGCGCATTCCCCGGCATGGGCAACACCCCTGGCCCTTCTCCAGAGATCCCAGACCTCTCTGGCCTCAGTTTCCTCATCTGTAGCACAAGGAGGTTGCACCTGGTGTTGGGGACGGCCCAGCCGGAGTCCAGGAGGGCCCATGTGTTACCAGCTGCCACCAGCAGGGGGCGACCACAGAAACCTCCACAGCCGAGTGACCAGGCTGAGAACAGTGGAAAAACCCTCCTCAGGGCTTTTCTGGAACATTCTATCCAGGGGATATGAGAGGGTGGGATGGGTTCTTTCTAACGCTTCCGTAGAGACAAATTCCTGCAAGATGCCCCACCCTGAGCCTAGACAGCCCACGTATGGCGGGGGGGGAGGAGGGAGTGCGTGTGGGTGGGGTGGCCGGGGCGCTCCTTGAAGTTGAAGGACTTTCTGCGTAAAGTCCAGCTACCCTCCCTCAGACAGCGGCAGGAGGGCGGGGAGAGCCCGGACGCCTCCTCTCAGCTCCCAGGATGTTGTGTGGTCCCTAGGGAGCTGGCGGGGTGGCTCTGTGGACCAAGGAGGTGAGTGCCCCCCGGCCGGCAGACCCCA